AAGGAATCACTCCTTTTGCTTTTTGGTCTTATCTTGAGAAGAGCCTACTGTGAGAGCCCCTTAAGAGCACAGTCATTTCTATGATCTGTGTAACATCTGATGCTCTGTGAGCTGTCAGATATTTAGTGCTCAATATCATAACTATGCAGGGAACAGACTTCACACCAAGTTTCTTCATACTAGACCTAGGAACACTAAACTTTGATCATCTTCATGTCTTTTGGAAATGGAGAAGTAAGTTCTTACAACTATTTTTTTCATTCTGTGACGTGGATCAAATAAGTAATCTTTGGTCTTATCTGTCCACTTGGATCAGTTTCTTCAGGCAGGCATACATACTCATTCCTAAGAAGCACTTTAAATGCATTCTGCCTTGAAAATGGATTTGTGTGTGCTTTATTAGGATTTCTTTTTAAGTTTTTAAACTTATGCTAGATATCAGATATTAAAGATTGTCTCATGTTCTAAGAAAATAACTAGCCGAGTATACTTTCACCCACATTCCTATTAAAGTCAACATGGAAAGGTTTCTTAACCAATTGAATGACATGATACAGATGTTTTGCTCACTTTCTCTAGGTGCCTCTTTGCTTTCTTCTATTTTCCTTTTTTCCTGAGAGCTGCTTTGCAGAAGACTTTGTCAAGAGATACCACATGCCATAAGAAAAATTAGCCTACATCTTTTCAAAATTGTCTTAGTCCATTCAGACTGCTGTAACAAAATAACTTAGACTGAGTAATTTATAAACAACAGAAGTTTATTGCTCACCATTTTGGAGACCAGAAGTGCAAGATCAAGGCAGCAGCAGATTCGGTGTCTGATGCGGGCTTGCTCTCGACTTCACAGATAGTGCTGCTTCGCATCTTCACACTGCGGAAGGGCGAACAGGCTCCCTCGGGCCTTTTTTTTTCCCCAAGTATAATGGATACGTTTATTTACTTATCCATTTATTTATTCATTCATTTGCAATTATCCTTTAAGCAACTACTGTTTGCAAAAAAAAAAAAGTATGTTATTTGCCACCAGTTTGATAAAGGAGATAACAGTTCTATATGAAAACATCTATAGTTGGTCTCACAAGCGAAGTGTGCTGGGAGAGCAAAAACAGAAGAAAAAAATTATTTTCATATTTTCTCTTTTGAGTGACACACTATCCTCGTTAGGAGTTCGGTTTCCTACCAGTGATACAACTAGATATTTACATCTCCCAAATCAAAGTACAAACTTTGGCAGTAGAACCTTGTTGCTCATTATTTTCTTTTTATTTTCAAGTTTTATTTTGGATTCTGGGGCTACATATACAGGTTTGTTACCTGGGTATATTGCATGATACCCTCAGGCCTTTTTTATACAGGTACTAATCTCATTCATGAGGGTTCCACCCTCTGACCTAATCATCTCCAAAAGGCCCCATTTCATAATACCACCAAATTGAAGGTTGTTTCAACATCTAAATTTGGGGGAAGCCGAGCGCAGTGGTTCATGCCTGTAAACCCAGCACTTTGGGAGGCTGAGGCGGGCTGATCACTTGAGGTCAGGAGTTTGAGACTAGCCAGGCCAACATAGCAAAACCCGTTTCTACTAAAAATACAAAAACAATTAGCCACCGTGGTGGTGTGTTCCTCTAATCCTAGCTACTTGGGAGGCTAAGGCAAGAGAACTGCTTGAGCCCGGGAGGCAGAAGTTGCAGCGAGCCGAGATCTTGCCTGGGCAAGAGAACGAGACTCCGGCTCAAAAAAACAATAAATTAATTAAAATAAAATAAATTGGGGGGGGAACACAAACATTCAGACCATAGCAAAGGTCACTGGGGGTCCTCCCAGAAAAGAGAAATTTGATTCACAGATGATTTATTAATAGGTTTTTTTTTTCTGTCGTTATATACTAGAAGGAGGAACTGACTTTAAAATGTGCTTACATTATTAGGTGAAAATGTAAAGAACCTAAATCTTCAACAATATGGGACTCACTAAAAATCCATTCAGGGGACTGGGCGCAGTTGCTCACGCCTGTAATCCCAGCACTTTGGGAGGCAGAGGCAGGCAGATTATATGAGGTCAGGAGCTCGAGACCAGCCAGGCCGACATGGTGAAACCCATCTCTATTAAAAATACAAAAATTAGCCAGGCTTGGTGGCAGCCGCCCGTAATCCCAGCTATACTTGGGAGGCTGAGGCAGGAGAATCACTTGAACCCAGGAGGCGAAGGTTACAGTGAACTGAGATCGCACCATTGCACTCCAGTCCAGGTGACAGAGCAAGACTCCATCTCAAAAAAAAATAACTAAATAAATGGATATCCATTCAGCTGAATGCTGTGCAACCAGTTAAAAGTAGATTTTAGGCTGGTCACAGTGGTCATGCTTGTAATCCCAACTCTTGGAGAGGCCAGGACAGGAGGATCACTTAAGGCCAGGAGTTTAAGACCAGCCCAGGCAACATAGTGAGACCCCATTTCTACAGTTTCTAAAAAAATACATAAACTTTCTAAAACCAAAAAATAAATATATACACATACACATACATATACATATATATGTAATTTTTTAAAGCAATATTTTAAAATACTATTTAATGACATGAAAAAATGGTCTCGACTATGATGATAGCTAAAATGTACTGGGTGTCATGCCAGGCACCTTTTTAAGTGTTTTCCTTGTGTTAATTCAACGGGTTAATACTTGCAACAGTCTTTTGTAGGAGAAACTATTGTTATCCCTATTTTAAAGGTGAGGAAACTGAGGCTCACAGCATTTACGTAGTTTGCCTGCAGTCAACTGGTGAGAGACAGAGCTAGAATTTAAACTCAGGCAATTTGGCTCTTCTAAAGCCCTCGCTTAGACATCATTACATATCTCTGTAAATTTTTTTATGAAACTAGACAAACTATTTTTAATTCATCTAGAAAAGAAAATGTGTTAAAAATAACCAATCAAATTTTGACGCAGTAGAATTGGTGAACATATTCTACCAGGTAGGAAAATATGCTATAAGATATAGTAATTTTTAAAATATCACAGTGTAGCTGAAATAGAAGAAAGGCCGGGCGCGGTGGCTCACGCCTATAATCCCAGCACTTCGGGAGGCTGAGGCTGGCGGATCATGAGGTCAGGAGATCGAGACCATCCTGGCTAACACGGTGAAACCCCGTCTCTACTAAAAATACGAAAAAATTAGCTGGGTGTGGTGGCGGCGCCTGTAGTCCCAGCTACTTGGGAGGCTGAGGCAGGAGAATGGTGTGAACCCAGGAGGCGGAGCTTGCAGTGAGCTGAGATAGTGCCACTGGGCGACAGAGCGAGACTCCATCTCAAAAAAAAAAATAGAGAAGAAATAGAATAAATCAGAAGAGCATGCCACTTTTTATGTTCACAGGGAGGAGACTAAATGAATACACTTGAGTGATAATCACTGATAGAGGAATTATAGATGATTTTTCTTTCATTTCTCTTTTTTGTTTGTACTTTATTTTTTTAATTTTATATAATGCCAGAAGTTCAAGACCAGCCTAGACAACATAGTGAGACCCTGTCTCTACTTAGCTGGGTGTGGTGGTGCATACCTGTAGTCCCAGCTACTCAGGAAGCTGAGTTGGGAGGATCACTTGAGCCCAGGAGTCTGAGGTTGTAGTGAGCAGTGATTATGCCACTGTACTATAGAGCCTGGGTGACAGAATGAGACTCTTTCTAAAATATAACAGAGAAAACCCAAATTATCTATAGTAAGCATTTTTAAATCATACAATATTAGCAAGTTTATTTTTAATGCTTTAAAACTTCAAGTTTTAACAGTATTTTACTAGTGTAACATATTGCTGCTTGATTTTATGCATCGTGTACCCTGGCATTTTCTAAGCTGCTTACTCTGCAGAGTTAATTTCCTAAAATGTTCAATATATTATTCATTTATTCAAGGCCTAAATTAACCACCCACACAGAACCACTAATCCAGTCTTCGTTTTTGGTAAAGACAGAGAAAAGACAATGGGATCATAGTCGTCTTCTGGCTTAGGGTTGAGGAGAAGGATTTCAGAACTTTTTACCAATTTTTTTTTTCTTTTTACCTATTTTTAAGACCCGAATTGTTTATTGATGGTATAAAGAAAAGCTATCTATGTGTGTGTGTGTGTGTGTGTGTGTGTATATATATATATGAGAGAGAGCACGCTGCTGTCTAAATACCTCACTGAACTCTGTAGTAAATTGTAATAGTTGTTCAATTGATTTTTTAGTGAGAATGTGTCTCTACCAAAGAAAATTTTAAAATTAGTCAAGCATGGTGGCATGTACCTGAGCTGCTCGGGAAGCTGAGGCCAGCTTGAGGCCAGGAGCTTGAGATAAGCCTGGGCAATATAGTGAAACCCTTTTTTTTTTTAAAAAAAAAAAAAGAGAGAATTCATGAAATGCTTGTTTTGGGGATATTGCCTCCTCTTCCCCCAAAATTTCTGTATCAATGGAACTGCCAGTCTTAGCCCAAGCTGCTGTAATAGAATGCCATGAACTGGGTAGCTTAATCAAACAGAAATTTATTTTCTCACAGTTTGGTGACTGGGAAGTCCGAAATCAAGGTAGTGTTTGGTGCAGTTCCTAGCGAAGGCTCCTCCTGGCTCGCAGAGGCTGCCTAGTTACTGGATCCTCATATGGCAGAGAAATAAAGAGAAATCCCTCTCTTTTTCTCTTCCTCTTCTTAAAAGCCCAGTCCTATCAGATTAAGGCCCCACCCTTATGCCCTCATTTAACCTTAATTACTTCCTGAAGACTCTGTCTCTGGGTATGGTGACACTGGGGTTTAGGAGTTCTACATGTGAATTTTGCGGGGGCACAATTCAGCCCATAGTAGTGCCTAAGCCCTTTCCAGTATCCTCAGAAATCCTATATTTAGTTTATTTTATTGCAGACAGGATTAGTTTTATCCTTTCTTGTGAAACTCTTAAAATACTCATTACTTTACAGTGTGTCATAGAAACTTTACTTAAATTTAACCTTATGAATAATTTCTTCCTAGACGCAAAATCGAATGAAGCTAATGGCCGACAACTACGAGGATGACCACTTCAAATCCTCCCATTCCAATCAGACAAATCACAAGCCCTCCCCAGACCAGGTAAGATGGCTCTGCAGTGTTTTATTAAAAAACCCACACACTTAAATTTTGAGATGTTTTGTACTGGCATGTTGCAAATTCTAAGATACAAGTTAGAAGAAGAAAAATAAATAGAATAATAAATAATAATAAAAAGAATATTATTTTCAAAAAAATCACAGATTCAGTTTCTTTATAGGAAGTTGGTGATTCTAAATATTTTAAGAGCAGATACTTGAAAGATTTGAACAATAAAGAATCCTTGAATTGGGTTGAGAAAAAAAAATTAACTTTCTCAGAGATACGTACTAATAATATGTAATTTTTAACTGTCTTTACTAATTTTTAACTGTCTTGATTTTCCTTTTAAAGAAATAGTTCCTTATTAGAAAAACAAGACTCTTTTCTTGCAAGCCTAGTGAAGCACAGTTTTTAGGTTATTTCTGTTTAATTGCAAATTATGAACTCTCTGCTCATTACCTATTAAAAGTGAAGATTGAAACTTAGTTCTTCACTCCCTGTCCTTGTGGATCCCTCAAGCATGTCATGCTTAAGGAAAATTGTGGCCTTCAACTTCTCATCAATGCAAAAGAGACACTGATGAATCTGAAGGGAACCATGTTCAATTTCTAGTTTCTTGGAAAAAGGGAACTCTCCTCAAATCTTGAAAATGATGGATGGGAGAGAGTGCTGAACAGATTACCTCATATCCCATTGCCAAAAATCAAATTTTAACATCTCTATCACACCCAGCCTTAAAATATATAGCTAAGGGGAAAAAAAAATAGTCAAGTAATTACATACATATGACTAAAGCATCAAGGAAAACTTTCCTGCTAAACATCTCTACTAAATAATAGCTGTGACATTGTCTTAGCAGAAGCAGCAGAGAGAGTGCAGATGAAAGCAGCAATGGTATTCAAATTGCTGTTGCTTCTAAGATTCAGAAGGTATAGTCCGTCCTATTATGATGACATTTACTAAGCCAGTTGAGGCAAGCCTTGTATTTTAGAAGGAAAACAGTATAAATATGTAATGTGGGCAGAATGGAGAGCTATCTGCCTGGTGTCAGCAGTCTTTCCCTGCCAAGAGATCATTTTACCTTTTCTGCCTGCTCCCTGATACCTGGAACTGAATCTGTGCCAGGGGAGATAAGATGCATGTTTGATTCCTCATGAAAACAGGTTTTTGATAATATAGAGAACCGGATGTCTGGAGTAGGAAGAGGGAAACAGAGAAAGGTTGAAGGAAAAGCAAAACATAAGGAAAAACCTCCAACTTGATAATTTTGCCCAGATCCAGCCCTGAGATAGAGATGGCATCTTGGAAAGTAGGAAGAATAGAAGTATAATGACAAACTACAGTTGTTCCTCAGTATCCTCGGGGGGTTGGTTTCAGGACAAACCCACTCACAAATACCAAAATCCATGGTTGCTCAAGTCCCTTATATAAAATGGCATGGTATTTGCATATAAGCTATACACATCCTCCCTTATACTTTTGTTTTGTTTAGTTTTGTTTTGTTTTGTTTTTGAGACAGAGTCTTGCTCTGTTGCCCAGGCTGGAGTGCAGTGGCATGATCTCAGCTCACTGCAACCTCTGCCTCCTGGGTTCAAGTGATTCTCCTGCCTCAGCCTTCTGAGTAGCTGGGATTACAGGCACCTGCCACCACGCCTGGCTAATTTCTGTATTTTAGTAGAGACAGGGTTTCACCATGTTGGCCAGGCTGGTCTTGAACTCCTGACCTCAGGTGATCTGCCCGCCTTGGCCTCCCAAAGTGCTGGGATTACAGGTATGAGCCACCGCGCCCAGACCCTCCCATATACTTTATATCATCTCTAGGTTACTTATAACCTAATACAATGTAAATACTGTGTAAATAGTTGTTATACTGTATTTTTAAAAATTTATGTATTAATGCATTGTTATTTTTATTGATTTTTATATATATGTATGTATATGTATATATTTCATCCACGGTTGGTTGAATCCACAGATGTGGAACCCGCAGATACAGAGGACCGACAGTAACTACTAATTTTGATAGTTTAGGGAATTAGAATCTGTTTAAAAGAGTCAAGAAATTATCTTCTGCGACGTTATGCTTACGTCTTTGTTTTAAATACTAACCACCTCTTTTTCATTCCATGCTGCTCTGGGGCATTGCCCCTTGTCATCTCTCTCCCTGTAGGATGAGGAGGAGGGTATATGGGCATAGCCAATCAGAGGCTCTTAGTTCAGCCATTTTGTTCAGAACGGTGAGAAACAGCTTTCCTTGACTACAGAAATGGTTTTTGTTTGTTTTCATTTTTCTTTTTACACAGTAACTCTCACATCTCATTTCTCTGTAATTCATGAAATCCTGGTGTGCTTTCTGTTTTTTCATTTTCACGTGATTTTTGTGTGTATTGCTGTGCTTCTGACATAGTGGGGTTTGGATTTTGTGGCTTTTTTTTTTTTTTTTCTCGTTGTGTGTTAATAGTCACTTCTATAATTGCTTTTCATACATTTTTGGGAGAACTTCTAGGACATGTAACTAAATTTCTCCAGTTCTGATTTTATTTATTACCCTTTCTAGGGTGATTTTACAGTGTCCTGGCAAGGTTTATAGTAACTTTATATGAAACTGGCAATAGAAAATTGAACAAGTACTTTGCCCATTGGCCTAAGTTTGACATATACTTTTTATGATGATTAATTATAAATACATGGTGTTCAAAACAAAACTGTACTGTGAACTAAACCCTCCTTTTGTTTCTATCTGTAGAAGAATGAGCTCTCACAGTCAGCACCTCGGATGCATCCCCTGGGGCTTTGATGTTACCCTCAAACTATCCCTAAAAATAGGGAGGAGCAAAGTAAAGGAAGACTTTTTTTAGAAAAAGAAATTTTAGAAAAATTCTTTTCCCTCCGTTTTCATGGATTGCTGCTGTGTTCAACAGTTGCCAGGACACTGTCTCGATTCTCCTTTTCAGGCCAATTGGCTGGAAAGTATAGTCCAGCTGTGGCAGTATCTCCCTTTGATCTGATGCCCTTGAGGTTTGACTAAGGAAATCCTTTTCTTAGAAAAAGTAACAATTATGAGTAATACGTTCACACGTATTGGTGGCCTTGCACCCTGGATTCACTGCCCATGCTTATCAGTGATCTCACTCCCTTGGAGTCAGTTCTCCCTGAAATGTCTTTGTCTTGGTGTTAAACTGCTTAAAATGATGAGGACATGTGTAGACCTCTTAACTGTTGAACACAACCAAGAAGGATGGAGAGGTAAGTTGTGGAAAGGGGCAATGCACTGTGAGGTGGGAAACTGTCCAGATGGCTTTATCCTGAGGGCATGAATGAGGTTGAAATGCACTGGATCGGCCAGGTGTGGTGGCTCACACCTGTAATCCCAGCACTTTGGGAGGCCAAGGCGGGTGGATCACGAGGTCAGGAGATCGAGGCCATCCTGGCTAACACAGTGAAACCCTGTCTCTACTAAAAATACAAAAAATCCAGCCGGGCGAGGTGGCGGCGCCTGCAGTCCCAGCTACTCGGGAGGCTGAGGCAGGAGAATGGCGTGAACCCGGGAGGCGGAGCTTGCAGTGAGCCAAGATCAGGCCACTGCACCCCAGCCCGAGCAACAGAGCAAGACTCCGTCTCAAAACAAAAAAAAAAAAGAAATGCACTGGATCAACCAGAAAGCTCTTCAGGTTAGAATGCTGCATGTCAGAGAAAGTTAACGCTGAGAGCAATCAGTGCGCTAATTTATCTGCACTCTACAAGGGTAGGTATTCATCATCATCAAGCATGTGAGGCCATGCAGTAGCTGGATGTAGTTTACTGGTCTCTTAGAAATGAGCATTTCTCTACCTTGTCTATTTTGTCAGAACACAGGAGCTTCTTAGCTTCCCTGAGCTGGAAGCACCATACACGTGGACATGATTACATTTTTGTTGCAAATCCTTTTTCTGGCCAATCAGAGGAAGCCTGTTGGTATTCCAGGAAACAGGCCCATAGGTAACTTCACCAGGAGACTAAAAAGTAAACAAACCAGCACATAAACTTGTTCCTGAAATCTTCATTTTCCTTTCTCTACCAAAATGAAATAACTCTTAGCTTTTTCCAATTATCACACTGTTGAGCATATTGCACTAATATATTAACTTTCACTGGTTTAACACCATGCAATTGTAGCCAGCCATAACTGGAGTTTCTACGATATGGAGTTTCCAATTTTATAAAATGTGCTGTAAACCTCATTATATGATAAGGATTTTACCTGGAGAAGTGCATGAGTGACCCTTAAAACACTGCAGAAGTTTTGAGTGGCTATCCACTTTCCTTCTCCTGTTTCCTTACTAATTTTACAGAAAATAGATTTTCTTTAAAAATTCAAACTTTTGAAATTGATGATTTACCTTATCAAACTTAAGAACATGTACTTTGCATCTAAAACATTTTCTAGGACACCAATATATACTGATCAAGTATGAGCCTTACTTGATATAATCCATAGATGGGAAGAGAACCATAGATGTACTGAACTGAAAAGGATTCTGGAGTTAGGCCATTTCAGCAGAGGTGGTAAAGCGTAATGGTTAAGAGTGCAGGCTTTGGAGCAGGATGCCTATGTTCAGATTCTAACACCACCATGTACCAGCTTCTGATGTGGACAAGGTATGTAATCGCGCTGCACTTCAGTTTCTTCATCTTTAGGATGGAGGCTGTTGTGGGGAGTAGATAAGTTGTGAGGCACATGGACTCTGGAGCCAGACTGCACAGCTTTGAATCTAGACCCCTCCACCTGCCCTGTAACCTTGGAAAAGTAACTTAAACTCCCTGAACCCCAGTTCCTTTATCTAAAAAGTGGGTTTATTAATAATGCCTACTTTATAGGATTAATGGATAGATTATAGGTTGGTATCTGTAGAATGCTTTGAACAGTACTGGACATGCTCTTTTTCCATGCTGTTATTATTTCGATTGTTGCTGTTGTCATCGTTAACTTAGATCCCTCTCCAGGAAATAGTAAGCTTCCA